GCTGCGCATCGTGCAGAACTGCGGCACCGACAAGGAGAAGCGCTACGCGCGCAAGATCGAGCCCATCCGCCGCAAGGGCAACTACCTGCTCTGCTCGCTGCTGCTGGGCAACGTGCTGGTCAACACCACCCTCACCATCCTCCTCGACGACCTCATCGGCTCCGGCTTCGGCGCTGTCGTGGCCTCCACCATCGGCATCGTCATCTTCGGCGAGATCATGCCGCAGGCGCTCTGCTCGCGCCACGGTCTTGCCGTGGGCGCCAACACCATCCTGGTCACCAAGTTCTTCATGCTGGTCACCTTCCCCCTCTCGTTCCCCATCAGCAAGCTGCTCGACTGCATCCTGGGGCAGGAGATCGGCACCGTCTACAACCGCGAGAAGCTGGTGGAGATGCTGAAGGTGACGGAGCCCTACAACGACCTGGTGCGGGAGGAGCTCAACATGATCCAGGGCGCCCTGGAGCTGCGGACCAAGACGGTGGAGGACGTGATGACCCCCCTGCACAACTGCTTCATGATCAACAGCGACGCCATCCTGGACTTCAACACCATGTCGGAGATCATGGAGAGCGGCTTCACCCGCATCCCCGTCTACGAGGACGAGCGCTCCAACATCATGGACATCCTCTACGTCAAGGACCTGGCCTTCGTCGACCCCGATGACTGCACCCCGCTCAAGACCATCACCAAGTTCTACAACCACCCCGTGCACGTCGTCTTCCACGACACCAAGCTGGATGCCATGCTGGAGGAGTTCAAAAAGGGTGAGATGGGCACGGGTGGGCGCCGCTCCGCGCCGGCCGGGCCTCCGCTTGCTTCCCACCGCGGCTCCTTCGCTCCGGGAGGTTCCTAACGCGCCACGGATGCCGGGAGCAAAACTCCAGGGCTCTGCCGCCTCCGGGTGTTGGGATGTGGAGGCGTCGGGCCACCAAGCTGGATGCCATGCTGGAGGAGTTCAAAAAGGGTGAGATGGGCACGGGTGGGCGCCGCTCCGCGCCGGCCGGGCCTCCGCTTGCTTCCCACCGCGGCTCCTTCGCTCCGGGAGGTTCCTAACGCGCCACGGATGCCGGGAGCAAAACTCCAGGGCTCTGCCGCCTCCGGGTGTTGGGATGTGGAGGCGTCGGGCAGCCGGGAACGG